GTCAGTACAACATGCTAATTGAAACTATTCTAACAAAATGATTTTGCTGAATTTGTTGTAAATATACACAATAGATAGCAGTACAGCCTAAATTACATATTTTCAAAAGATTATCATTCTGCCTACCTGCAGCGCACGAGGTTTCTCGGTTGATCCGCGGTAAATCCACTTAAGCACTATACCTATTCCATTTATAACACTGCAAACTTGACTTCGCAGGCCGATCATCTTTAAACCCAAAAGGCATTTATTATGTGTTATACCTTGACTGCTGCTGCATAATGGAACGTTTCTCTACACAACTGTAAAAGTGCACTTTTCAGCAAAATGAAAGCAAACTTTGAAAGGGTTCTGCATTTTGTCAATTTTAGCTTAATCGCAATAATGTTAATAATAATATTAATAAATACATTTAAAATATTATTTATAGTGTAGCCTACTGTGGGACTGTGCAGTAAACTATTTATTTTTATTAAAACATTTTTATTAGGCTACATCTTCCCGAATAACTAATAAATGACTGGCAGTTGCGTCTCTGCTAAAATTAATTTAACAGCAAATTTCTTATGTGTTTTTTTCCCTTTTAGAGCTCAAGAGAGTTGTGTTTAAATAATTAGTTAACCAAAACATGTAATGAATTAAGCTGCTCCTATCATGTCACCAATTTTCTCCCTTGTGAGTTGAGTGCGCCTCCATCGCCGTGTGCGCGTTTTAAAGGCTATTTACGGGCGCACCAGACCTGACGCGGGGACCGGATCTCTGGACTATAGGACTAGCTTTAATCTCACCAATTTTCATAATTCAATTGCTATGTCATATATTTTAAAATATTTAGATGTGTGTTCTGACGGTTGGAACGACGGGAGTGTTAATAGTTAATGACAGAAAGAATTTTCAGTTTGAGTAAACAATCCCTTATGAAAATTGGGATTGTTGGCACATTGGGGCACAAACTCTTTCTGAGGGGGCAATGCCTCCCTTTGCCCCCCCGTAGCGCCGGGCCTGACTTCCTGCCTCTCCAGCTACAGTCCTGATCACATCACCACCAGGGGCGATTTTCATACTACTGTTGTAAAGAAACACTTGGACATGTGATTATGACATTTCAGGAACGTCTGGGACTGGGAAGTAAAAAACATAAATTTTTTTTCCTGTGTTTGTAATTTTCCCTCTCTGTTATTTTAATGATATATTTTTAGTTTGTTAATCAGATTTGTCACATCACACTATTTTTTGTTTATTTTATTCGTTTTGTGGCTTTGCCATTCAATTTTAAATACAAATCTGTAAACTACAGTTCAAACATTGATATGATCCTGGAGTCAGTTTTTATTATAAAAAGTTTATTTCATATTCATTTAATGTTGAAGATATGCACAGCTTTTTAAATAAACTTGAAATATTGCATCCTATTTTCCTCTATACACAGTATATATGTGTATAAATGAGCCTTACCACAGTCAATCAGACGAGCTCTGTACAACAATATCTTTTGGTCTAGATTAAAGACTTTTATGTTTTAAATACATTTTTTACTATTTAGTTTCTGTTTCCCTTTCTGTTTATTTGTTGGAGAGCACATTGGTCAATGAAAGTGGTTAATATTTTGTGATAGCCTAAAAGTAAACCATTAAATAAAATGTAAATAAATAAAATTGCCATAGTCAAATAAACCAATATGTTTTAGGGCACGCATATTTACATATTTTTTATTTGGCATGGTTGTTTTAAGTTTCTTAAAGCTATTTTAATAATAATAAATAAAAACCTTCACTCAGAATGAATGATTAGCACTTCCCTGACCTAATAAGCTAATAGCTAATCAAAATAAACTGTTGTATATTTAGCTTTTTTAATCTTATTAATGCTGGTTGTCGTTGTATCTGATACTGGTTTATATTTTTGATTTTTATTTTTTTTTGGAATGTATTTTGGTTTATTGTATTGCTTATAGCATTATTATGATTAATAATTTTAATAATACTATAAAAATATTAAATCACCCAGTCAGTGCAGGAAAATTGTGAAAATTTAAGTATACAAAGCATCAAAAGAACAATGTCATTGCTAAAGTCCCGGTTGGTCTGATATAGGCCTAGTTAATTATGAAGTAAATATAGAAACGAGAATATTAGTTCAGTGTTTTTTTTTAATGAAACGCAAACCATCCCAAAAGCAAACAAAAATCAATGGTAATATTCACTAACATGACCAGATTTCTGAAACCTGTGACGATTTTCAGTGGTCAACATTCGTCCTATAAAAAACGCCCATTTATGCTTATTTTTTATTTTTTATTAATATAAGACCAGCATTTTATTGTATAATCATAATTTAGATATTTAGCTACTGCATTTAATAAAAACTCAATTATAAAAGCACAGAGTTCGTGCTGATTTCATTAATTCACTGCTGATATTAAATATTGTTTACATTTAAATGAGGCTCGTCATTCTGTCACTACAGCAACTTGAGTTGATCTTTAATATACACAGCTGGTTCTGACCCGATCGTCTCGCAACAAACTCTCGACAACTTTTGAAAAGTTTGATCAGTTTCTCTACTTTGGAAAGTTGTTCTTGGGTCATCTTGATGGAGCAGCGTCGCTCAAGAAGAACCAGGGCTCTCCCCGCACACACGAGTCACTTCTGGCTACAGGGCGTCTCTACCGTTGAGCAGCTCGCAGCGGCGGTCAGGTCAGATCACACCTACAGCTGCATCTCTGACCCAGCGCTGAAGAAGCGACACCTGATGAACGCGGCGGCCCTCCCTGTCCTCCGTCCCGCAGCAGCAGCAGCAGCAGCATCAGTGTCTTCCTCAGTGAACGAGTGTCAGCAGGAGCAGCAGCTCTCCATCCACGGCAGAAGCGTGCAGGACTATCAGCACATCTTTCGCTCCGTCGTGGAGACCGGCTGCAGCCGCTACCGCTTCAAGCGAGGCCTGGGGATCAAGCAACGGCTGTGGGAGAAGCTCCACCGGCCTACGCTGCTGGAGACCGAGCTGCCTGATAGACGAGTCTTGATCACGGAGAGCAGGTCCAGCGAAAGCAGCAGCGCTCCTCAAATCCACGTGGACATCAGTGGAGAGCCACTACCCGAGGAGGAACCCCGAAGAAAGAAGCCCAGACACTGAGCCATCATAGTGTCCCATGAAAGATCAAGGGCACGTATGTACATACTGTATATAGTTATAGAGTAAGTCTTTACATTAAGTTTTCTTTTCATTCAAAGTTTTTATCACTCTGCTGAATGTTTTGATGGTTGCTGATGTGGCTCTTGGGTTCTGGCTGTCAGGTTGTTTTGGAAAGTTTTCTGTGTTTTTGACATGCGCTTTGCAGGGTTTTCTGAGCGGTCTCTTAGTGTTGCTGGTCAGTTGCTGGACTCCTCTGAGTGTTGGTCGGTCAGTGATAGGTTAGTATAGGGTAGGTTAGGTTAGGGTCCCTCACATGGTTTGCAGCTTGACGTGCTGTGAGGGCTTCTGTGCATCAGTGATACTGAGAGCTTCACCACTGGTACTTCACAAGTACTGGCAGGGTCACCCATAGTGGACAGGTCTCAGCTGAGATGCCAGACCAAGACAAACCACCTGATTGTGGACACCTGATTGTGGCCTGATGTTGCAGGGAATAGATCACAGTCTTAGCACAATTGCCTGCATGGGAGAACTTCAAAAAGGTTTTGTATGTGTAAGGAACACATGCACCAGTGGGACCATGTTAATAACTTAGAGGAATAAATTACCTAAAAGATTTTCTCGGTCCGGCTTATTTTAATATTAATAATAATAATTCCTTACATTTATATAGCGCTATTCTGGGCACTCAAAGCGCTTTACACAATGGGGGGGATGTCCTCATCCACCACCAGTGTTCAGCATCCACCTGGATGACGCGACGGCAGCCATTTTGCACCAGACCGCACACCAGCTGATTGGTGGAGAGGAGACAGTGATGAAGCCAATTGAATATGGAGATGGTTAGGAGGCCATGATTGACAGAGGCCAGTGGGCAGATTTGGCCAGGATGCCGGGCTTGAACCCCTACTCTTTTCGAAGGACATCCTGGAATTTTTAACGACCACAGAGAGTCGGGACCTCGGTTTAACGTCTCATCCGAAAGATGGAATTTTAGCTCCTATCCTACGTTAACACACTTAAACCGACTAATTAAAGCGTTATTAGGCTTACCAGAGCGTTATTAGGGTTTAAGGTGTCCACTCTAGACAGGTGTAGGCTTACATAGGTGGTCCTCTTGGACTGGGTTTGTTTGGACACCTCATGCCCTAAAGGGTTGTTGTTGCTAGATTGGATATGGCTGAAAGTTAACAAGAATTATTTGTATTATTTATTAAATTTCCCATTTATTGTATTTTATTAACATCTACACCCACCTCAACCCTAAACCCAACCGTCACAGCACTGTAGTTGTACCGAGTATTATTTATGCTATCTATTAAATTACCCAATACATTGCATTTTGTAATGCCTACCCCCACCCCAATCCTAACCATCACAGTAGTTAAAATATTATTTGTTGTTAAATTTGGAAGAAATCGGCACTAGGGGGCGCTTTAATACCTCATATGATGTTCAATGTATAAATAAAATAATTAATACATCATTTTTATTATATATTAGATGTCCTCTTTCAAACAACACTACATCCGAACTGCTTTAATTATTTGTCATTAAAAAAAATTCTGTGCTGTACAAATCTCTAACAATCACAGATATTGCTTATTATTAATTAAAGATTGCTAAATATTAATTGACATTTATTTTTGTTTAAATGTCTGAAAGTGTTTTAAACATGAACCCCAATGTGAAGTAAACCCTGTGAATTGCTGTTTGCAACTTGCATTTAGTTTGGTGTGGTTATGGCTTGTGTTTTCAGAGGTAAATATTACTTCACGCGGGTGGAGGTGAACAATGCTGTTGTCTAATAAATGACAGTCGTCTGTGGTTTAGATCTAGGCTATTGAAAAAGTCACAGAAACCAAAGCCACGTTTCATTCATAGCAGAACAGCACAGCTTTATTTAAAATTGACAGAGGTGTTAACGAGATCAGATCTTATTCCACAAAAAAGGTGGACCTGAAGACACATGACAAATGACTTCTAGCTGTGTGACACCTTATCATGATACCTAATTCATTCCCTAAATGACCATATAAATGTATTGGTAACCCATTAAATTACTGACTAAAATCAATCTGAAATAAAATTCTTTTTAATACACATCAACAAACAGCATTCATAAAACAAAACTGAAACGACTCCTCTGTTTACTAGCACGCTCCGCAAGTTATTCTCACAGCTTATTGCCCGTATACCTCGGGATCGTCTCAAAACCGCTACTTTTAAGATGGTCAGCCGACCTCAATCAAGCCCAAAACAAAGAACACGGAAAAAACGGAGTAGGCACTTCTGTTTTTTTCCACTTTTTCAGGGGCTTTGTGGGCAAAAATCTGCATTCCCACAATATTTGCCATCCCAGTGCTCAATCATTCACTTTGTTGATTAGTGGGTGCTTGAATATTTTTTGTTGCTTTTTAATAACACATATTGAGACTGGTGTTGTGTGACTTCCGCATCCAGACAACTAAATGTGTAATGATATTTTGCAATTAATCATGAAGCAAAATGATTTTGGATCAGTCTGATTGGTGCAAATATATGTAATAATTTGTTGACTCTCAAACAGTAGTTTACACAAAGCTAAAAGAAGATTAAGAAGGCATCGTAGAGCTCGCTGTTGTTTTGTGAACATCAACACTGAACTTTGAGGTCAATGCTGTGGGGAGAAGTAAATGGGATAGGGAAGACAACATTGACTTTCTTCAATACTTTTTGGGTCATAGATGAATGAAGAGCTGCGCAAAGGGAGATGAGTTCAAACAAAGGCAATAAATAAAGCTGAAATAAAACATATGAAGTTCTGCTTCGGTGTTCCTTTGTGTTATAAATTTAGTAGATGTGGCTCATAGATGAATAACTGAAGGGTTAGTTTAAGTTTAAGGTGCTGACTTTCTTCCAGTGTTAGAGTTGAGATTAAATGGGAGAGCCCAGACCATATGGATACTCAGTGTAGATTTCGCTTGAAGACTTCTGAATGTTAAAAGGGGCTTTACGGACCCTTCCAGGGGCTGAGAATGGGAAGGTTTGTTGGTTAATAATAACTCTTCAGTCCATTCTGTGTTCCTTTATCTCTTTTCCAATCCTTTATCTCTACATGGTGCTTGCATAATGAGGATGAACTGAGGTGGAAATTCTTGTTGACTTGAAAGTAATACAGAATCCATATTTACTGCCAGACATGACAGAGTCCATCGTCCGTTCGCTTTCAGCCCCGTCCACCAGAAGTCTTCCTTGAAAAATCTCTTTGTGGCACGAGTGAGGCGTTTTCCTCGAGCTCTTCCTGGTATTCCTTTCTTTCTCTTTCCTTATCCGTCTTGGGAGGTGAAAGGGTGAAGGGTGGGATTTTAGGGAGGAGAAGGTGTCGTGGTCTCCCATGATGGAGTGTTGACAGGCCTTTAGTTCCCACAGCAGCTTCGAGTGGACTGTGCGTCTGGGTCCTGCAGGTTCACGCCCCTGTGTCGCGCAGCATGCGTAGGGTTTTGGGTGTCTGTTTTTGGCATTTTTTTGCTATTGAGAAATAAACAAGAGTTGAAAAGTCAAGAGGCTGAGTTACATTCATTTATGCCATGAAAATGAAAGTCATCTCTCTGGCTGTCTTTAATAATTCAGGTTATTTTATCTAAAATGGACTGGAAATTTGCTTTCAAGCTTTGCCGCCATCCAGTAACAACTGAAAGGAATAAAAAAGTACCTGTCCTACATTTGTTTGTTACTTTCTGATAGTTTTACTTTTAATTCAGAAGAAAAATTTACACTACTTTCATTTCATTGCAGTTATAAAGGGTTATGTTACAAGCATAATAAAAAATATTAGCTGCCCCAAAATGTGTGTGTCATTTCAGCTTAAAACACCCCACTCATCATTTAATTATTTGTGCTGGGGATGTCCAGGAAGCAAACAAAAACCTTTGCAAATGAGAATCTTTCCAGATCAGAAAAGTAAATATTACAGCTTGTGCCCAAACAACGGCAACCTCCCGCTCTCCGTCATGAAGCAAATACAGAAGTAACTGAAAATGCAGTTCAATGAAATTCTGGCAGTCCTGGCTCCATATGGAGCAAATTTCTATTGAGCCCACTGTTAAAATGGCCAACTTTACAGCAGAAAAGAAGGTGTTTACAGCCTGGTACAAAGAACGATTTTGGTTCATAAAGGTGGTCCCGCTCCCCATCTCCACCAGAGACGCGCGGCGACCAGAAGAGACCACGTCGCTGAGAGATCTTCATCCAAGAGACCTGGAGCCAACGTGTAAATATTGTACATAGTTTCTTAGTAAAAGATAATAAAGATTATAGCTGCATGAACTGTGTGGACTGGTTAACCTTCACTCCAGCAGTGCAACACACACTAATTTATTCATTAACACAATATTATGAAGTTTTGCTTTAATTTAGGAAAAGAAAACCTCTTCTGTGCTAAAATCGGATGTTTTTTCAGCGTTCTTACTTCAGTCTTTAATGTCAGGTGATCCTTCAAATGTCAGTGTAAAGTGTTGAGTATACTATTAGTGCTCAGTCGTGTTTTTCATAGTTACCAGTGCTGATGGAGTTTTTTTTTTTAAAGCGTCATATTCTGCTGGAAACGTTTCATTTTAATGGTAATGTCCCATAAGCTGAGGTCTTGTGAGTGACTTCCCAAGTTGGTCAAAGTCTACACCGGTGACATGCTCATCTACTCCCAGAACCTGCTACTCTCTACCTACACGTTGTCAGGTGATGTTTCAAAACCTCAACACTCGCATACAGAACAGCCTCAGCGTCTGCACCTCTTACCGGCACTAGCTGCAAGTCTACACCCCCTCTGTCCAGAAGTGAGCACAGCCTCGTGGTCCCATCCCAGCAAGCATTTTTTTGGGGGCGTTTAAAGATACCAACTGACGATCAAAAGTAAAAATGACTAGTTTTATCTCATCCCAGCAGGGAAACCACCAACAATAAAGAATGAGTTACTATCTGGTGTCATGGCTTTGCAATTAAAACAAGTTTAGCTATAATGGAGGTCATTGGGGGCAAAAACAGCCACTTGAACAATACATAAGGGTTAAAAGTCTAACTGACGGCTTGGTTAAAACGAGGCTAAAATCTAGACTGTCAGTGAGTGTGCACCCCTAACCCCGCCTCTCACAGTGACCTCACTAGCTCCATTGAGTGCATTGTGTCTCAGGTTGCATGCAAGTCTGCAGCCAGATACTACTGGAAGCTAGTCATCAAATACACAAGAACGAATGACTACACGTGTCAATCTGTCTATTGATCCATCTAATCTGTCTAGTCAGTCTTTTATTATCTTTTATATGCGAAAATATTAATTCATAAAAATATGTATTTATGAACACTGGGTCAAATAGGGTCCACGTGTTTTAAATCTAATAACAAAAATAACCCAATGTTGGTTTTGTCCATATTTAAATGAATGTGTGTAAATGCACGCTTTGATCAAACCTTTTATTCCCCTTGATGATATGGCGCTTTTTTTCCTAGACGTCCTCCAAAGTTTCGATGTTTGGCCGTGTCTGCCATATCTGTTTTGTTTAAAGAAATAAAAATAAAAAAAAGAATGCATCGGTTCCTGCATGTAGAATTTAGAAATCTCATGGCATTGAAAGAAAACTGGCAGCAGTTGAGTGTCGAGGTCAAAGGTCAGATGAGCAGGCATCACACCTGATCCAAACCTGGGGCAACTGTACAGTAAAAAAAAAAAAAAACAACAAGATTAAGAAATATTGCTTTAATTTGGGTGAAAAAAAAACTCTTCCGTGTTAAAATTTGATGTTCCTCCAGCGTTCTTACTTCAGTCTTTAACGTCAGGTGATCCTTCAAATGTCAGTGTAAAGTGTTGAGTATACCATTAGTGTTCAGTCGTGTTTTTCATAGTTACCAGTGCTGATGGAGTTTTTTTAGAGCGTCATATTCTGCTGGAAACGTTTCATTTGAATGATATTATGCCATAAGCTGAGGTGTATGAGTAACTTCACAAGTTGACCATAGTCTAGACCGATGACATGCTCATCTACTCCCAGAACCTAGGAGAACGAAATGTTGCAGCTCGTCCGGTCTTCAATGATGAGCCCAAAAGAGGCCACTTCACAGAGCCGGCCCAAGGCTTAAGAGAACTGAGAGGCAGGACAAGATGGCGGGCTGGACTTGGTTAACTTTAGATTTTACACAAATCTCATTATTTTGTTTTTCACCTAAAATAGTAATTAAAACATCCAAGATGTGTTTTGCCTCATCAAAATGTGGAATTTGATCAGCAAACTACTCGTTCTAAGACAACTATGCCTTCGGCTAAATGACTTGGCTTCAAGTACGATGCCAGACGATTCAGAAATAAAAGGTACTGACTGCACAAACAGATAAACGACATGATGCATCTCATTTCACCACAACTAAAGGCAGCGACAAAAAAAAAAGTCAAGCTCTCACTGACTTACTGTCTCATATGGTGTCGAAGGTCCACTGATTGTTCTTGAAGAAGGGGTGACATTTTATTTCATCCACTCCAGTCCGGCCAAGCCTCACCTCCCTGAACATAGCACAACACTGGTCAGCAAAACAAACAGAGAAGCGCTAATCCGTTAAATGACCATAAACCAAGAACATCCAACAGCACAGCATGGAGGAGTGGAGCAGTCAGAGAGACATCCAAAAATAAGGACCGTTCACTCCCCCTTCCTTTTACTTCATCTGCATTGAGGCGGTGCAGCAGTTTGGACTACCACGTGTGGGACATTCCAACAGCCTGAATGCAAAGGGAGGAGTGTGTGTGTGTGTGTGTGTGTGTGTGTGTGTGTGTGTGTGTGTGTGTGTGTGTGTGTGTGTTTACATGAAAACATTGAGAGAAAACATTAAGCCCCTCTCTGTATGTTTGATCAGGAATGCTTGTATGTGGGCATGTGAGAGAGGAGAAAGAGGGAAGGAGAAAAGAGGAATTCAGATGGAAGTTGTCAGGCTGGAGGGTGAACGTCCATGAAGCTGATATATTAAAAGCAGTAGGAGATGAAATGTATGTTTTATTAGGGACTTTATTTATAAAGAGCTTTTAAAGGCATAACATAAATAAAGATCATCTTGTATGTTGTCTTTACATTTTATCTAATTTAATTCAATTAAAATGTTGATATGGCTTAGTAAGTTTTTTGGCGATTTGGTGCTTAAGATATATTAAATACTAATAAAACTATTTATTTATATTTTAGGTATGTGTAGTAATCAGGCTTAGATTATTTTAACATTGTTGTATTTTGTCAAATATACACATAATTTACTAATTCAATCAATCAGAACACTACAAAGTGTCAACAACAACACTGGGTTGTGCCAACAAAACTGTGTGTCAATTATGCAGGGCTGCAAAATTATGAGAAAAAAAATCATTGAATACCTTGAACGGTTTAATAAAGATTATTCATTTTTTTATAGCCAACATTTGTGTTTGGGGAAATGGATCATCATATTCTGGCTACAGAGACAAAATATGTTTTTCCTTCACATTAGCTGAGAATAAACTAAGCAAAAACTGCTAATTTTTCTCACTGAAGCTGCTAAATTAATCTCCTTTTTTTCTGTGCCTGGTAATTTATGGCAAGAAAACTTTACTGTTTTCAGTAATAACAAATCTTAGGTACTCTGTGTTTACATTATATATGTTATAAACTACAGAAGAAATCTGATCAAAATGTGTAAAAAAATTGTCAAGAAAGTGTACTTTTTTTTACAGTGAAGCTAATTTCAAATAGAAAAAATAATAAATTAATTTCACTACCAGCCGACCTCTAACAACAAACAAGTAAGGTTTTATTAAGCTAGTGTGTCTAGTAAAAGCAGTACGACATTAAAGTTTTATGAAAGACTTATTGTATGAAGAGCTTTTAAAAGCATCAAATTAATATAGACTTGTATGTTCTCCTTTAATTAAATTAAAAAATATATGATTTGGAGTTTATGAAATATTCCCTGAGATTGTCATTTTGGAAAAAAGTACATCGATAGGGAAAAATAGGGAAAATTTCATATGATAACAATGATAACAAATCTAAGCTACCCTGTGATTATATTAAATACGTTATAAACAGGGCTTGACATTAACACATTAACAAATGCGGGTAGATTTCAGCTGTGGCGGGTTAGACAGCCACTCCCACTAGCCACTTTGAGAATACATGAGAGTATTGTTTTTAAGTGTCAACTGTGTATAAAAAGTGTATGTATAGTTATATTTTGTTTGCTTTACACATTATTTAAAATGTGTTTCTAAGTAATAATTAGTTCGGTGCAGCAAGAGAAAAACTTTGCAAATCCTTAGTGTCGAGCCCTGGAAACAGATGTGAAATAAACTATTTATAAAAATAAAACTAAATTAATTGCATAGTGACACTATAAAAATCACATCCCCTGTACTCATGCTCATTGAGCAAGGTCATAAACAACACACAAAAATATTAAATGAACAAGGAGGCATGTGGACACAAAGTATAAATTAAGTAAAGTTAGCATGTCAAATTCAAATTTATCAATATAAAATATATTTTTCCAACATTAAAATTGTGGCTAGTGAAAATGGCGAGTGGCTAGTAATGTTGGAAAACTCCTAGCCACTGTGGCTGGTGATCAAAAAAGGTAATGTCAAACCCAGGTTATAAACTCCAAACTACAAAAGAAATCTCATCATGTGTGTAATAAATTGTCCTGAATATTAGCTCTTTTTTACAGTAAAGTTAAATTCAAATTAATAAAAAAATAAATGTTACCAGCCAACCTCTAAAAACAAACAAGTAAGGGGATATTAAGCGAGTAAGAGTCTGAATTTTACAAGAAAAAAAAAAAAAACTCAAATCAAACTTTCATTTTCTCAGTCTCACTTGCTACTCAGAAAGGCACAGATGAGGTCTTTGCCATCCTTTGACATTTCAATATCATCTGGGAAAGTTAAGATGTTCTTGTGATCCATGATCTTTCCATATGTGCCCACCAGAGACTCGGAATGAACTGGAGTGTCGCCTGCCCAGATCGACAGAAGAAAACATTTGATTATGAGAACACTGAAATAAAACTTCAAGAGATGCATATGAAGCTGACACTTCTCACCCACTAGAAGCTCATAAATGAAAACACCAACAGACCACCAGTCACACTCACGACCGTAATAACCAGTCCCTCCTTGAGACATTAAAACCTCTGGAGAAATGTAATCAGGTGTCCCAACAGCAGTGTTCACAGCGTACCATACCAGTCTAAACACACATGTAGACACATGGATATAAACATTACTGGCTGAGTTAATGTAGCTGAAATACAAGTATGTTTAAAATTTTAATTATTTACACAATTTATATTCATTCAATTCAAGGACTGCATTGTATAATCTAGCCACAAGATGGCAGCACTAACATCTGTCATAACCGAATGGAGGCTTTCTGTAACGTACGTTAATGATGCTGCAATGTGTGAGGTGATAATTGTAAATCTCTACACTACAAAATCTTAAAGAAACTCTCTCATTCTCGGTCATGTATAGTACATCTAAACACACCAACTACTAGTGTATGATATTTATCGTTTTCAATAAAATTGTAATTGTATTGTGGGCTGGCATTACAGAGAGCTTCATTCAATTGAGAAAAACAAACAAAATCACGTCCTGAGAGTCCAAAAGCATTTAAAACTATTGGAAAGCAGTCCCAATGACAAATAGGTGGGTTAAAATATCCCTTTATGGGGTTTTGTTTATAAAATGTGTAAGGTTTTGTGAAATAATACAAGCAAGTTAACACAAGCAGGCTTTCCTGAACATCCATTAAAACACAATAATGCGAGTTCTGTTCAACAGATCAACAGAAAATACCAAACAAAGCTGAAGCAAAAAATGTGCATCTTAGGAGAAGAGTTTGTGTGTGTGTGTGTGTGTGTGTGTGTGTGTGTGTGTGTTTTGAACTTCAATCTGTTTTAAATAAATCATCAACAAAGACAGTCACTAATTGCTTCGTTTCTAAATGAATCAGCCATTTTGAATAAATTGTTTGAATAAATTTTCATTGAATCACTTATAAAAACAGAATAAATTCTAAACTCCACACTTCCCTAATATTAAGTTTGTGAAAAACAGCATGTGACCTTTTACATCCGAATTAGTAGTAGAAATTAAGATGCAGGGGCAACACTGTGGCTCAGTGGTTAGCACTGTCGCCAGTAACAAGGTCGCTGGTTCGAGCCCCGGCTGGGACAGTTGGAATTTCTCTGTGGAGTTTGCTTGTTCTCCCCATGTCCAAAGACATGCATTACAGGTGAATTGAATAAACCAAATTGGCCATAGTGTATGTTTGAAGGAGTGTGTATAGGTGTTTCCCAGTACTGGGTTGCAGCTGGAAGGGCATCCGCTGTGTAAAACATATGCTGGATAAGTTGGCAGTTCATTCCGCTGTGGCGACCCCTGATGAATAAAGGGACTAAGCTAAAGGAAAATGATTGAATGAATCAGGAGGCAAAAAGTACCAGAATTATCAATTAATAAAGTGTGGAATTAATTCATTTACTATCCTATGAGGCGTGATGACGAAAGGTTAACATGACAGTGACAACAACGTCAATGCAGTAGCCTGAATTTCATTCTCACTTCCACTATTCTATTTTATTACTGTCAAGACACAACTTAGAACTCAAACGAAGTACCGATTTAGATAGTAGCCTAGTATTTTTGAAAAGGAGAAAGAGACTTGCTGTCACCTGCAGTAGTGGTGTCACCTAGTGGTCATATCTATTAATCCATGTCAGGCCTAAACTAGCCAAGGTATCAGCACAAAAGCACACTAAGCAAAATATTGTTCAATGAGATTATCAAAAAAAGGAGAGAAACATTTTTGTTAGTATCACACCCCCTTAAAAGACACTTCAAATGCACTTACCACACACCGAGTCCATCTTCATGCATGTGCCAAAATCTGCAAGTTTGAGGTGTCCATTGCGGTCCAGCAGCATGTTGTCTGGTTTGATGTCTCTGTGGATGAAGCCCAGAGAATGGATGGCGTCAAGTGTCAGCACCACTTCTACCGTATAGAATTGAGCCTATTCCTCTGGGATGTCATAGTTGCTGGTCAGATTCACCAGATCTCCACCTGGCATGAACTCCATCCCCAAATAAAGGTACTTTTCATGTTGGAAAGCACAGCACAGCTATGTGGACAGAGAGATAGAGTGGTGAACAGAGAAGTCACAATATATTTCAGTAATCAATAGCAGTGAAATTTAACAATACTTCATTTCAATTGCAGCAACCCAGCTAAATTAAATAATAAGTAATGTGATATTAAACACAGACTTTATTTAATCGTTTAAATATTTATTTCATAATTTAAATACTGTTATTAAAGAACTTTTAATGCAATCAATTACATAATGTAAATAATAAAGTTAAAATATAAAAAAAATTATAAATGGAATATTAAATGACATTTTAAGTATGAACATATACATACACAAAAACAGTTGTGTCAAGCAATTAATCATAATTAATCAAACCCAAAATTAAAATTTGCATCTTCATAACATGTACATCATTTTTATATTTATTTATTTATTTATAATTTGATGTAGATATAAATATTTCATATGAAGATATAGAGTTTCTCAAATATATACACTCCACGAAAATATATTATGTAAATACAAACTTAATTTTCATGTGATTAAGCATTTGACAGCACTAATAAAAATACAGCTAGCAACAAGTTATTTAAATGATGTTATACTTAAAATCAAGTTTAACTTTCTTTATTTTGGTTAGTTAACATCAACATTACAGCAGCAGAAATATTAGGCTTCAAGGTCTAATGAACAGGTCTGTAGTTTTTGTCGTCCTTATTTACATGAGTACATAACTAACTGACTACAATATGGGCTGGTGCATCCTGTGAAATTCAAGTGTTCAAAAACAGCCAGTCAAGACTATTTTCTCAGTCAGGTTTACATTTGACTATTTATACTATTTTATGCTATTTAAGTGAATTACTAGTAGTTTTAGTAATTTAACATTATTATTTTTAATCTTTTACCGGCCCATGCCTAATCCCAAACCAGGGTTTTTTTAAAAGTACAAATTATTGTACCAAGGCTGCGTTTAATGGGTAATACTGAATATATTATGCCAAATTACATGTCAAAGTAGAATTTCACATTAAGCTCTATTTTAGGATCACAGTGGAACCCCAAAAATAAATTAATTTTGTTCAAAAATAGGTCATGGGTTTCAAATAATTACATTTTTCAACAGGGTGTGTCTTAACAGTAAATGACATTGACCACAGTTTAGTGCCCTCTGCTGACCAAAATCAGACATTCTTTAAATTAATTTTCATTTACAACGTTAATACTTTGTCACCATCCTCCAAACTTGATTTGATCACTTATTTCACATTTAATTACTTAAACTAGCATTTTATAATACTATAGCTTATACAATACCCATAATGAGTACAACCTGAAATATTTCTCAGAAAATATCTTGCTTTTAAATGATTTAGTTTCCTATAGAATGCAATATTTGTGGAAATCTGGCTTACTCCAATGATGCAGCGGTCAGTACAACATGCTAATTGAAACTATTCTAACAAAATGATTTTGCTGAATTTGTTGTAATTACACACAATAGATAGCAGTACAGCCTAAATTACATATTTTCAAAAGATTATCATTCTGCCTACCTGCAGCGCACGAGGTTTCTCGGTTGATCCGCGGTAAATCCACTTAAGCACTATACCTATTCCATTTATAACACTGCAAACTTGACTTCGCAGGCCGATCATCTTTAAACCCAAAAGGCATTTATTATGTGTTATACCTTGACTGCTGCTGCATAATGGAACGTTTCTCTACACAACTGTAAAAGTGCGCTTTTTAGCTAAATGAAAGCAAACTTTCAAAGGGTTCTGCGTTTTGTCAATTTTAGCTTAATCGCAATAATATTAATAATAATATTAATAAATACATTTAAAATATTATTTATAGTGTAGCCTACTGTGGGACTGTGCAGTAAACTATTTATTTTTATTAAAACATTTTTATTAGGCTACATCTTCCCGAATAACTAATAAATGACTGGCAGTTGCGTCTCTGCTAAAATTAATTTAACAGCAAATTTCTTATGTGTTTTTTTCCCTTTTAGAGCTCAAGAGAGTTGTGTTTAAATAATTAGTTAACCAAAACATGTAATGAATTAAGCTGCTCCTATCATGTCACCCATTTTCTCCCTTGTGAGTTGAGTGCGCCTCCATCGCCGTGTGCGCGTTTTAAAGGCTATTTACGGGCGCACCAGACCTGACGCGGGGACCGGATCTCTGGACTATAGGACTAGCTTTAATCTCACCAATTTTCATAATTCAATTGCTATGTCATATATTTTAAAATATTTAGATGTGTGTTCTGACGGTTGGAACGACGGGAGTGTTAATAGTTAATGACAGAAAGAATTTTGAGTAAACAATCCCTTATGAAAATTGGGATTGTTGGCACATTGGGGCACAAACTCTTTCTGAGGGGGCAATGCCTCCCTTTGCCCCCCCCCGTAGCGCCGGGCCTGACTTCCTGCCTCTCCAGCTACAGTCCTGATCACATCACCACCAGGGGCGATTTTCATACTACTGTTGTAAAGAAACACTTGGACATGTGATTATGACATTTCAGGAACGTCTGGGACTGGGAAGTAAAAAACATAAATTTTTTTCCTGTGTTTGTAATTTTCCCTCTCTGTTATTTTAATGATATATTTTTAGTTTGTTAATCAGATTTGTCACATCACACTTTTTGTTTATTTTATTCGTTTTGTGGCTTTGCCATTCAATTTTAAATACAAATCTGTAAACTACAGTTCAAACATTGATATGATCCTGGAGTCAGTTTTTATTATAAAAAGTTTATTTCATATTCATTTAATGTTGAAGATATGCACAGCTTTTTAAATAAACTTGAAATATTGCATCCTAATTTCCTCTATACACAGTATATATGTGTATAAATGAGCCTTACCACAGTCAATAAGACGAGCTCTGTACAACAATATCTTTTGGTCTAGATTATAGACTTTTATGTTTTCAAATACATTTTTTACTATTTAGTTTCTGTTTCCCTTTCTGTTTATTTGTTGGAGAGCACATTGGTCAATGAAAGTGGTTAATATTTTGTGATAGCCTAAAAGTAAACCATTAAATAAAATGTAAATAAATAAAATTGCCATAGTCAAATAAACCAATATGTTTTAGGGCACGCATATTTACATATTTTTTATTTGGCATGGTTGTTTTAAGTTTCTTAAAGCTATTTTAATAATAATAAATAAAAACCTTCACTCAGAATGAATGATTAGCACTTCCCTGACCTAATAAGCTAATAGCTAATCAAAATAAACTGTTGTATATTTAGCTTTTTTAATCTTATTAATGCTGGTTGTCGTTGTATCTGATACTGGTTTATATTTTTGATTTTTGATTTTTATTTTTTTTTGGAATGTATTTTGGTTTATTGTATTGCTTATAGCATTATTATGATTAATAATTTTAATAATACTATAAAAATATTAAATCACCCAGTCAGTGCAGGAAAATTATGAAAATTTAAGTATACAAAACATCAAAAGAACAATGTCATTGCTAAAGTCCCGGTTGGTCTGATATAGGCCTAGTTAATTATGAAGTAAATATAGAATCGAGAATATTAGTTCAGTGTTTTTTTTTTTTTTTAATGAAACGCAAACCATCCCAAAAGCAAACAAAAATCAATAGTAATATTCACTAACATGACCAGATTTCTGAAACCTGTGACGATTTTCAGTGGTCAACATTCGTCCTATAAAAAACGCCCATTTATGCTTAATTTTTATTTTTTATTAATATAAGAC